CGGCGCCTGATGGTTGCTTCCGGCCTTTGGGCAACTCCAAATCTAAGTGGGGTGAGTAGACGGCTGACTGCCTTCGATACATTGTTCACGTACGGAAGAGCTCACCAAACGTTTGGACCAGTTGGACGTGGCTTCTTCGCTCGTTTGCGCATCCATTGGTTGAAAAAATTGCGTGGGTAATAATTTGCTCACAATGCCCGTCAGACATATTGTTATTCAGCAACTTTGTCTTCCGTCTCACTGCAATGCGTCTAAACGCGCCGGAATAGCACTCTTACGCAGCTGCCTTTGTGACCGATCGGGTGGCTGTTGTTGTACTTCAGGACTTGCGTATTGTTGATTGCTTTTAAAGCCATCATCGTCTTTATGGCAAATGAAGAAATCCAGGAAGGCCAGTTGGTTGTTTTCTTCTTCTTCTTCCATCGTAAATCGAATGTCCGGGAAGACGGCGTTTAGACGTTCTTTGAATGACAGCACCTGCTCCCCCTCAATTACGTCGAAGTTGTCGTCCACATACTGAGCCTAGAAATTTGGTTCGTGTTGTCGGAAAACCAGCGACTCCAACTGTTGCAAGACCGCCTCTGCTATGAGGCCGGAAATGGGTGAACCCATAGGCGTGCCCTTCAGCTGCTCGTAGATAGTTCTGTTAAGGGCAAAGTACGTCTTGAGGCAGAACTTTAGGCGCTGGAGGATTTGGGCGTGCCCAAATAAGAGGTTTGTTGTCCTGATGTTTCGGATTCCGTCGGGAATCCTTAATCATAGGTAATCGTAAACAAGTCTGCCATGCGCAGATAAGGGTGATAGATGAATAGATTGCATGGGATTTATAGTTCTTAGCGGTCACCCGCATGCGTGCTATAATTGTAAGTTCCTTTGGCACCGCTTGAGGTTTTAATTGGTGTGGTGATCGCTCATTAATTGTCACATCCTCCTCTGGTTCATTCTCCAAAGTTATGCCCTCCTTGGGGAATGCAATGGGCGTAATTAGACGGTGCCACCACAAAGTGCTAGCGCTACAACACTGGTGACGCAGGTGAGATTGCTCCTCAGACATGATAAGCATATGTGACGCACATCCCACCATGTGTATTTCTGCGGAGCAATTGCTGTTCTACGAAAGTGTTCTTTAAAAAATAGGTAGTTATGCATAGTAAATTACGGCGATGTTTATAGTGAACGCTCACTGTGCCGCACCTTACTATCTGACACAAACCGATATGTATTGTGTTAAATATTTAGCCCAGCGTTGGTTTGTGCACTTAACCCCATCCCAATACGTGGCGAATTTAAATGAAAGCCGACCTTATGTCATGTATAAATGCTTTTTCTCTGGCCTCAACCTTGGATCATACAGTCACAAAAAGCCCACGGCAACCTTTCCATTTTTCAGCTCAAGCAATGTTATTCTTGAGGAAAGCGCGGACCTGGGAACGCTTTAAACACCAGAATGCCCGGTTAAAAAATACATTTCGGATGTCTACTTGGACGGAATCCTGCATAATGTCTCCTAGTTGAGAACTTTTGTCCTATTTCTTGTAACAAAGCAACCGATCCACGTTGTTCTGTAATTAGTGGTATTGTCAACCTTTAGAAGCAGAGAAACATCAGGGGATTGAGGATGTAAGAACACGTGAACAGAAACACTGTCGAATTACCTGTTGCGTGACAAGTAAAGGTTGATATTTTTAGAGCCTTCGTGCGTACCCCAGCCTAAAGCGTCCCATATTGCGTGGGCGCCTCAATACAGCCATCCATAAACGCCATACATTTTTCTGGTCGTGACAGTTCCTGATCTGACTGCGTAAGCTGTATGACGACGAGGAAAGTACCTTACTGGCGCCGTTGCAATTACGCTCTCCTGACGTTTAAATTTCGCGTCAGTCCATACCACGTGAGAATTATGCTCACCGCTGCCGAATGTGCATGGCCTTGCCAACCGACTACTACAGTGGCACTAAATATGACCTTCTGAATGGAGAAAAGTATGCGTCCACCATGTGAACAGCTTGACGTGATATATGCTTTGGTCTGTGGTCAGAATGCGGAATGCATGACGGGCACCTTATGTACATAACTTGCTAAAAACAGCGCAACTTTCATAACGTTGTAAAAGTTTGATCATTTCTCGAATACCAGTGTGAGTGCACTAAGGAAAGCTTATAAATAATAATGAACCACATTGGATATATCGAAATATTAAAAGAAGTGTAAGAATTGCCCGGTGTTAGTAAAGAAAAAATTTTTTACCCGATAATCCCCAAGTTCTCGAGAAGTAAAAAATAACTATAATTTAGAGGAAAACATTTAAATCTTTTGTAGGCTGAAAACAGAACGCAAACAATTTCTTTATATCAAAAGAACAGACAGGAAGATCAGCCTCCACACGCTTAGGCGAACATCAACGAGCGGTAAAGGGGCGATATCACTTGTCCGAAGTCACCATACACGCATTAGAAACTGGACACCAATTTGCATGGGACGAAACCCGCATTGTTGGCTCCTGTCCATACAAGAAAGGCCGCGAACTTCTCGAAGCTATGCGCTCGGACACACAATGCATAAACAGGCACACAGAGTTGGAATCGTCGTACCGAAGCCTCAAGCAGAAGTGGGCGAGATGCGAGCCACTCCGAACGGAATGAAAAGCACTGCAACAGGGTACTGGCGCAAGCGCCACGCCACGGCATTATCGATTTTCCCACGAACTCTCGATATTAGCCGTGAGCCGTTTTTGGCACATTCACTTTTCTCTGCGTCTGAAGACGAACTGCGGTTCCAGTTTCGAAAATTCACCAAATAAATCATCATTTCCCAAAGCGCTTTTTTCTACATAATAAAAAGGACTTTTCTTTAGTCAAAATATTTTGTGCATTCTACCAGTAGTGGGTAACTATTTATTGAATATCGTCCAATAAAGTATGGCATCATTTTCTTCGTTTTCACTGTCTCCAGTGATAAGTTGCATTTCTTTTCGAATTTTGCATCAAAACCTATAGAATGAGACATATATAAAGTGCATTTACCGAAAGAAAGCGCTTTTGGATATAAATTCTTATGAATATGACCATGCAGATCATATTTAGGAATGCCTCGAAACAACAAACTACATTGTCGAGTATACAGAACGTCCGCTAGATAACTTGGATATTTTTATTCCTAAGATTAATAGAAAAAAATTTCTATAATAGGTGACCTCCTTAAAAAGTGCTTTGATTAGATATCCGGATGATGAAGTTCTGTGTATATTAACTTTTTCCAGGGTAATGTCACAATGAAATTGGAAACTTTTGACGATTATTTTAATCTATCTGAAGATAGGCAATCCCATTTGACTGGAAATGAAAAAACTTACTTTTCTCTGTTATAAGCTTGCAAATGCAAACAGGAATGGACATATGTATATGGGCATTTTAACTAATTATTACTCTTCTGTCTGTTCCGTTTCAGAAATGCGCATAAACGGAAATCAAAGTTTACAAAAAAGTATATTTCTACATGACTTACATGTCATAAGGCCTGTTTTACATTACCTTTGCGGTAAAATAGGTGGAAAATTTGATAATTTGGCAAGGTGGGCAGTTTGGTTTAAACAAAATGCGATAAATCTTTTGTTAATTTATTTTTTTGCGAAAAAAACGTCATAGGTTAGCTAAAAATAATTTTAAAACACAAATCATTGCATGTTTCTAAAAATAAATGCGATTCCTCCAACTCGGCTTCAACTGAATCTGAACAATTTCAGACAAAATTCTCCAGTTCTGGAAGGTACATCTTTTATCTTTTACTTGTTTCGAGTTCCTCCGTAGTATGATCAACATTAATAAGAAGTTTGGTTATCTCTTACATAATAGCATAGGAAACTCCCAAGATATGAGACTACTCCTAATTTCGCCAAAATTATTGCACATTTCTCTTAATAAACCTAACACAAATGGGGATTTCCTGACCTAATGACTTTCGCAGAATTAAATCCACTCAATGAATCAAAATGATATGACAAAATATATGCTAAAGTACCAAGTCAAACTTCGTCATGAAAGTTGCACGGTCTTTAGTGAATATTGTACAGCATATCACTTATCCAGTGCGCAGCACGAGACAAACGTTTTAAATGAAAGCGGTGCTCTCACCTCCTGCAAGTTAGGTGCGTCGTGGTTTGAAGAGCTTGACAATTTTATGGTTTGGCGGTGCCAACGTCAAGAACGACATTAGGCAGCCCGTCCCTTTTGCGACTGACGTGGTTGA